GCTGCAGCTTAAACTCCTCAGTGATTCTCAGGATTGTGCCACCAAACAGTGGTCCCACCTTGCTGTCTTACAGCAGCCCCAAAATGGAAAGGATAAAAGAATTGCAGGAACTGGGACTTGCAAAAATCTGGTGTCCTTAGAAAAACTTCCTACAACACACTGGAAAGTGGACATCAGAGACCAAACAACAGGCAAGTGAAGAGCCTACAGCCACAGATCTGTTAAATCAGACCCATAATAAAAGGGTACAGGTTAGTTCCAGCTCTTTGATGGCCTTTATTTCCAAGCTGCTTTAATGGAATACAGAAACATTATGGAGCGATACTGCAATACTTTCATATTTTTGTTCAACCAAACACTGGTTTACCACTGGACTAATGCAGTCTTCCCACCTGCAACATTTTCAGTGACAGATAACAGCCCATCCCCGGGACTACTGTACTCTCCATACAAAGGCAAAGAATCACGTAATGAAAAATTACAACTGCAAACATATGTGTGTGCTCCAAGGGCTTTTCACACAATACAATCTATTCCACCAAGCAATTTTCAGACTTGGAGGAACAGAAGTAGGTTTGTATTCCTATGCCAGACTGACTGGTCCTCTCCTTTTCCTGAAAAGTAAATAAAACCCCTTCTCGATTCTGTCAGTACAGAGATATGGATCTAACTTCAGAGAACTGCAAGTAACCCGACCTTTTAATTTTTCTTAATGCTTCACATGTGTCCCACCAGTGGCATACGAACATTTTACTTATTTGTTCCTTTCCTGCACAGCAGAAAAGAGTTTTCAGCCTGCGTGAAAGACGATGCCTTGGGCGCTCCCCACGGGCCTCTTATTTATTGTTCACTGTAACTTCTTTCTCCTGCCGGCAACTGGAGACTCATTCACCAGATTTCTGCGGTGACAGCTATAATAAGAGGCAAGCAGGTATCTTATACTGCATCTCCTGGACACCTGCTCTGAAAGAGTTTTCTGTTCCTGCGCGCTGTTATTTGAACTCGTGGACGACTTTTTCACGGCAAGAGCCAGTTTTCCACAGAACAGGCTTGGTGTGACTCCAAGTCTTTATTTCCAGTCCTGTGAAATGCAAGGCTTAAAGCAAATAGGGCCTTACTGTTGTAGCAGAAATGAAACCATTACACTCTGCCTATCTGTTAAGATTTTAATAATACAGACACCTGTGCACGACTGCTGTTGGTTTTCTCACTGATTTTCTTCCAGGTGAGCAAAAACGATTACTCTGCCCACAAAAACCTACACAGGTACCCAAAAAAGCAGTGCAGCAGCTTTTTAAATTCTAATTGCTGAGCCACTGAAAACAGAGGGAGGGCTCTATGTACACAGCTAATTCCAAAGACTGGTGACTTGGATCATTACTGTGTGTGTGGAAGAGCTTCCCAAACAATTTCAACCACCAGAAAATAAGTCTTCAGCAGGAGACTCAACAAGGACAGATGTTCCAAGTTTAAAGAAAAAACAAACAAACAAACAAAAAACAAACAAAAAACCCAAAACAAACAAAAAAACAAACCAAAACAAAAAAAAACCAAACCAAAACAAAAAAACCCAACAGAACAAACGCACAGACTTGGTCACAGTCTAAGTTACCACACTGAACCAAATTTTACAGCAGATTACACCTCAGCTCCTGGAACTAAAGCTCGGTAAACAAGAGCCATCAGCTCCTGGATGGAACTAAAAAAAAAAAAAAAAAAAAATTCAGGTCACAAGCCATATACTTCAGCAAAAATCACCAGCCCCTGGAACAACTTGCTGAGGGCCAGAATAGTCTTCCTGACTAACCATTTCTTTAAATCAAGTTTTGAAGTTTTCCTTGCTTGAAGGGAAATTACAGCTTGCATACAGATTTATGAGACATGGGGCTAGCCTCAGAATAATTCCTACACCCTTTACTTTTGGATTGTGTCTCAAAAAGCCAAGGGGTAGGTGTGCAGAGGGGCTGGGGAATGAAAGAGGGGAAGGAAAAGAAAGTAAGAGAAACTACAGAAAAATATAGAGAGGGAAACAAAGAAACCATACTGATAATGAAGTAGAATGAGTAAAAGCAGCCTAGAAAGTGAAAGGGTATACAGGAATAAATTTATTTCTTTCAGTAGAAGATGCATGAGAGGAAGAAAAGAAATGAAACAAGAGAAGAACAATGCTGTGCAGGAGATGGGCTGGAGAGGGGACATGGAAGGGCCATGAGGGAAAAGGTAACAACTTTGTTTCTCAGATCACTAAGTATTCCTAAAGTGAGTTTTCCACACAAGAGAACCTGGCCTCAGCTGGCCACATGGCACTATGACTGGTCTTGTCTTGGGTGGATGGGACACAATGCCACAGGACAGAAAAACGCCTAAAAACGCCCCCAGTCGCATTCACACTCAGCCTGTCTTCCAGGTGACGAATCCTTACACTTAGTGATCCCCTGTCCAAGCTAAACGTGGAAGCAGATGCTCTTCCAAGCCCACTGTGTTCCTCTGCACGCTGCCCTGATCAATACAGCTGCTGTTGATTTACTTGTTTTGAGCTCCGTGGCGAGGCACAGCAGCGAAACTTTACCTGGACAGCAGCTCCGTGGGGGATCAGATGAGTGCAGGCCATGCCAGAGGAAAGGAGACACCACAACACCAGGTACAGGCACACAAAAGCAAGGGACTACCCAGCCAAGCTCTTTCTCCACCGGCTTCTTTAAGCAACAACTACAGGATCAAGTAGCAGTAACCAAGTTAAAAGGGGTTTGCCACATAATGGTGTAGGTTCAGAACTTTATAGTCAAGGGTAGCTGAGGTGGAAAACTGTGTAGGACAGATCAGAATGTACTGACTGATTCATTAGGCACAAAGGCTTTAAGGCAGGCTGGTTTGTCTGGCTTACAGCTCTATCAATGAAAGCAATCAGCCTCTCTGAACGCAGCAAGAAAGTTTATTTAGGGCAGCACAGGAGGCTTCTCTCACCTCTGCTAGGCATGGGATGGTTACTGGCTAGGGGAGGAGGACAGAGGGATCAATTCCCTCACCAGATCCAAGTTTACTCCCATCTTTGCTTTAAAAAAAAAAATCACATCCAGCAAAACACACCAACAGAAACTTCTGAGCGGATAAACACTGCATAAAAGCTTACGTTACTGCAGCTGAGCACTATCAAAGGCAGAAAATACACACAGCATCACACATGTATACAAAAAGCCACGGGCAAAAATCAACTTAGGGAAAATAAGCCTCCTAAAAGTCTTAGGGAAGTAAAACCAGGTGGTTTTGGTACGTCCTCTTTTGCTTCCAAGTGTACGTTTCATCCACACAACTTCTTCTACTTGAGATTTAAAAAACAAAACGCACACACACAAAAAAAAGAGAAAAACCCCACAATAAACACAGACATTCAAAAACACGTTTCCCTTCCTCCATCAGTCCCAAAGAGTCTCTTCACAGCTTGTGCAATTCTACTCTGGATCAGCTCAGCGATCCTCACGCTGCATGAAGCGGTCCCAAGCAGTGTTCACTCTGGAGGTATCAGGAGGAGAGACAGAAAAAGCCCTGCTAATGTACAGATAGACTTGAATGACTCCAGAATGACTCAAGGAAAGGGGAGTAATTCTTCCTGAACACTAAAGACAGCTGGCAATTTACTCACACCCCGTGCAGAAAGACTTCAGAGTGTTCAACGGCACAGTCAAAGAGATTTATTCCTTCCCGCGAGCGCCTTTCCCTGTGCTTCCAGTTGCTCTGCTCCTGGGAGCTCCATTACTTGTGTTAAAGAGTATTCCTTTTTAATCTACCTGCTGCTTTCCAGACTAATTTCACAGCATGGTTTTTAAAATTGTAAAATCAAAGTGGGGGGGAAGGGGGGGAAGAAATCATAACATTTTACTGTAGGACTCCAGCACTGTCCAAGTAAGGAAGTTTTAGATTTTTCCTTTCTCCGTATAAAATTCCTAAACACAAAGAAAGGCAAAGAATAGAGAGATAAATGAACAGTCAAATCCTGAGAAATCAGACCTCTTATTTTTATTTCAATTTGACAGATCTGGGTCCTGCAGTAAGACTGACTGCCTTCAAGCTCCACCAAAAAGACTCAATCACATCTACGTGTCAGAACTTTGTTTTCACACCTCCTAGTCAGCCTTAGCATAGGGTTAGATTTCCTCTCATTCTTATTTCCCAGAAGCCACAAGAGGCTAAAATGGAACAGCAGAGCCACTTCCTACCCTCAAAAACTAAAAAGAAGTGAGATGCCACTCTACATCAATCACATTCATTTATTTCCACATATCATAAGAAGTAAAAGCTGTCTTATTATCCTCAGAGAAAGCAAAAATTCATATGTAAAGACACCTTTTTCCAAGGTGGATGAGAGATCTAAAAAAGAATTGCTCTTTCAGGAATACAGAACCCATAAAACAATATTAATAACTAAAGGTTAAAGTATTTACTGGCACACGGAAAATTCAATTCCACACTGTCAGGGCATCCCAAGTGTAGCACATCCAGTGGTAAATAGATTTAAGAGCTCACACACACTCCAGAGGTAACATGTAGTGATAGGACAAGGTGCAGTGGGTACAAATCAAAAGAGGGGAAATTTAGTTCAGATATTAGGAAGAAATTCCTTACTGTGAGGGTGGTGAGACACTGCAGAAAGTTGCCCAGGGAGGTTGTGGAGATGCCCCAGCCTTGACACTGTTCAAGGCCAGGTTGGATAAAGCCTTGAGCAACCTGGTCTAGTGGGAGGTGTCCCTGCTCACGGCAGGGGGGGTGATCTTTAAAGTCCCTCCCAAACCCTTAACAAGCTATGATTCTACGATTACCATTTTTTCTTTAACGAGTTCCCAGCTTCGCCTCGCTCCCCGGCACAACCATCACCTTGAAACAGGAGATCCCAAACCGCTTACATCAAACTGAGAAATATGGTTGCACCACTCTTCCCAGACAACAGGTAACCCTGCAGCCCCAGAGACCTGCAGCTGCCTGGCAGGGTGGCATGTCTGGCTTACCCACTGCGGGGAATGCTGCTCCAGGAGCAGAGGAACCACACGCTGTCCAGATGGGTCCAGGGCCTTCAGGCACAGTAGACAAGCAGCTTCCCTGACTTCACCAACGCCTTCCCACACACCTCAGGCCCTGTCCACAAAAGAACCAGCCAACTCCACGTTCACGCCTTCTCCTTAATCCAGAACTCTTCTGCAGATGGAGCACCCCACAGTATCACCAGCAGGATGTTTGCACACTCTGCTAACCCCCCAAGATGTGTCCAGCTGCACACACCACGAGTTATGTCCAAAGATCAGGAAGGCATTGCTAAAAACAGCCAGAGCACATTCAGAGAGGAGCAACAAGCACGTCCTGACCCTCACGTGCAAACCACCCCTCACGTCCCTCACAGGCCCAGCTGTGATCTCACGTTGCTTAAAATATAAATAGTGCCCGGAAAAGTCACATAACCAGGGCAAAGTGCACAGGTAAAGCAAACACACAAATGCTCTCTGGACCTCTGACCGTTTGGGTTTGTTTCTTTTTTTTCTTTTTTTTTTTTTTACGGTCACAAGGAAGGGTTGTGATTCCTCACCAGTGCATTTTGCCAAGTGCCAGACTTGGCTTTTCAACCTGCTGTCCTGCTGCACTGCCCAGCCTCGACCAGTGCTGCAGGCTCTGCTGTTGCCTACTTCCCAAGATAAAGCCCACCCCCTGGAAATATTCTCAGTCCCATGGACAGTGGTTTACCACACCACAAAGCAGCACTTCATTACAACCCTCAAACACAATTTAAAATATTTAGAAATCATAGACTGTAGTATTATTTACCCATTACAAGGCCATACCACACTGTCATAACACTTTTCGCTTTTAATGTACACACCGGCAAACAGAATATATTTTGACCCATTTACAGTGTACTGGTTGATTTTTAGACAAAGAAAAATAGGTAAAAACATGCAGAACATCTTCTGAAATCCAACTCAGTAACTACTACTGCAACTAGCACTTGATGCACCCCAAAGGAAATAATGTTTGCTTTCAGAAGTGCAATAACCAGGATTAAACATCATTTGAAGTGCTGGTCACTACAAAGACTGGCATGAGTGACTGATCTGGAGAGAAGGTTTCTAATTATTTAATTCTAGGCTTAATGCTCTGCCTATTGCTTGACTATTAGAAACAGACAACTCTGCTCCTGCCTTTCTCCTGGACATGGGAAAAAAAATAAGAGAAAAAGAATATATACTTTAAAAAAAACCCTTCTCCCCTTCCACTGTGTCCCTTCCCTCTTGGAAAAGTATTTTAGAACATTAAATGCTTGCTCAAAATACTAAACAACTGAATCTACATAGACCTACATGCAAGGAGTCCTAATAAAAACTGAATCTTAGTGACCAAGCAAACTGCACCACCTTAATTTCTGAGAGCCATTCAGCCATCAAAGACGACATTCAGAGACTCCTTGAACCTTGTCTGAATTTACAACATTGAAGTGACTCCTTTTCAGAGGCTAGACTTTCTCCTACTATCCACACTAATCTTTCTTTCCACAGCTCAACGTGGTTGGCATATTTTATGTTCTAAGATGTTTCGCAACTACGGCCCTTTTATCTAAGCCTTAAATGCTCTTTATGAACGATGATGATAAAGTAATCATAAAAAAAGGCAGCTTAATTCAGGACACATGAGAATCTTGAAATCAAGAGGACTTAAACGTACACCTGAGAGTTTTAGTGGATAAGAGTTTCAGTGAATAACAGAAGATTGGAAAGCACAGAGGTGCAAGTAATTTTTGCAAGGGAACAACATCGCTCCTCACATGACAAATATTCTTCCAAAGCTGGTAATCTCTGGAGATGTTTTCTTTTGTTTCTTTAGAACATCAGAGTTACTACAGAGCTATCACACACTGTTACAATGTATTTATGGAAGTACTGTGCTAAAGGACGGTGGGAAACTAGAAAAAAAAAAAAATCTCATTATACCAATCACTACCTTAACTCCTTCTGCCTTGATCACAGCAGAGTTACGGTATTTCACTAAAATGGGTATGGCAATGTGGGCCAGGAACAGGGGAGAAACCAAGCAACCAGACACTGCATTGCTCAGCTGCCTATAAACTATTTAATGCATAATAAAAAGCTTGATCCCAACAACAACAAAAGTATTAAGGTTTATACAGCATGTGCAGATCCACGGGTCTTTTAAGGCAGAGTATTCACACTCCCATGCACCTGCATTTTTATGGTGTTCCTGTAGTATAGATTACCCTGAGACCTTAATTTCAGAGTGACTTTGAGAGTCTTGCAGCCGTGAAATTACATCTTCATGAGAGTCAAATAATCTCAAACTGAATTCATACACTGAGCTAAGGGTGTTATTTGCATATTGGCACTTGAAGGCTTTGGCTTTAAACACACACGCAAGACACTGAGTCAGGGAGATGAAAAGATGACTGAGGTTTGAGGGAAAAGTCTATCCCTTATGAATGCTTCCAGTTTAACGGGGCAGAGAAAATCTGCTCCTTCAAATTCTTACCAACACTTATGGAAGAGATCTGGGTTTCTAAACATGGGTGCCAAGAGCCATTTTTGGATGTTCCCAAGATGCATCCACAACATCCACACGGGACTGGCAGACGCCACACCAGACCATTGGGAAACTTATACCCTTTGAGAGTGGTGGCTCCAGGCCAGGAGAAACACCCCCGAGTGCCTAAAGGTACAATTACATGTTCACTGCATTGCCCCACACGTCTGCACAGCATTTAATTAAAGCAGAGAAGATTACGACCGAGTTTAGAACCAGCCTGGCCCCTCCACCCCATCCCCTTCCAGCCAGTTCATTTGGTTGATTTCAGCGTGCAGAAAAAAAAAACCGCTGCTGTCTCAATGTAAATATTTTTAATATTTTGCAGTTTGGAAAATAACTGAAGAAACTTTTGAGAATAGTGACGCTGAGGGGAAGAGCACATCATAACAAACCTGAACTGCACAGAAGTCAAACAGAAGACAGTAACAGGAAAGGTCTGGGCTTACACAACACATCAAGGGATTTATAACACTGTTTCCCTCTATTGCTTTGTGAGGCATCATGGCAGTTTATTTAAAAAAAAAAAAAAAAATCAGGTTTTCCAGTATGGAAAAGCATACATTATGAACTCAAGACCCTCAGCTTTTAGATATCAAAGATGTTAACTATAGACATTAACTACCTGGTATGAACACTTGACACTTTTGGGAAGTGTTCTCTGCCTGCACAGAGCCATCCTGTTCCCCAAGGCCACTGTGATTATTAATGGGAACCACCATGATATGGTGAACAAAAGTGACATAAGCATGGTTCAGACTCCAAGTACTCTGCCTTAATTTACTTGAGTGTTTTATAAGTTTGCTCAGTGGCAGGACTTCAAATTTCAAGTTCATACCTGGAATAAAATAGGTCAAAACAAAACATGTCCATGGCTGATCTACAGAAAAAAAAAAAACAAAAACACCACTAAGCCAAAAGGAAATGGCTTTGTTCCCCTTTGGGCCTTATTGCTTTCCCCAATGCATTTCTGTTAGTCATAAGTACATTTAATACAAACCAGAAATTAGTGTTCAGGAATCTGAAATGAGACCATGTCAGGAAAGCCAATTTTTACCAACGGGAAAGACCACTGGTTAAAAAGTAGTTTGAACACTTCAATTCTTCCAAGTTCTATTGTGAGCAATGCCCAGCAACTAAAACATGCCCATACAAAATGAATCAGCCTTGACTGAAATTTGATTTTTGACCCGATTACATTCTTCCTCCCAAAATAACCTCTCAACAAACAACTAAAAAGGCTGCATTCAAGAACTGGCCAATATAACCAGAATCTTTAGCGAGTTTGCACAGCTCCCTCCACTCGCAGAAACTATCACTTCCAAGCGCAAGAACTGTAAAGCTGTCTCTGCTAAGTTAACATCTGAACAAGTTTTAACACAAGATTTCTACATAAATTAGGACTGCATCCAGACCCGAGGCAGAAAAGTAGGGCTCCCGAGAAAAGGAAGAGATAATGCATCCTAAAAAAATGGGCAGCAGCTCTTAAATGCCTGTGAGAGCCTCTCGCCCTCTGACACGGCAGCACAAAGTGCCTCGGTGGAGTAAGGGGGGAAGGGGGGGGGAAGAAGCAGCAGAAACAACTCTACGAGTTCCTGGTGGAGAATATAAAGAAATTGGACAAACAGCAAATTCAAGATGTGACAGATCCCGACAAGCAGTAAGTGAGGCCAGGAGAGATGCGCTGCAGGGATCTGGAACAAGACAAGGCAATGGGGAGTCCCAAAAAGTGACAGATTGAAAATATGAACCTCCACAGACCCCCCAACACTCCCACTCATCCACTCCTCTCTTTCAACCCAGACCACCTCCTAAACCCACTGGTTTTTAACTGAAATAAAGGCAGCATCTGCCCAAATGTGGACCTGTGGCATTCAGGTCTGCTGGTTGCCTACATGATGGACTCAGGAGAGAACAGCAGCTCCCACTCCACAGTAACATAATGTAAATTCCCAGAAAACCCAGGAATAGTTAAAGGCCATTTTCACTCCCTTCATGCTCCTCCTCTTTCCTCTCTTTTCCCTACATATATCCTGTATAAAAGAAAAATGGTTGGAGATACAAAAAGAAAACCTGGCCTAAGACCACAGGAAGTACAGAAATGAAAACCACAAAGATTAAACATTGCAACTTCATCTGTCATGCACTGCAGCGTTAAACTTACCTGCTCATTACTGATTCTGAATGCTTAAAAAAGTGCCCTGACAAAACCCACAATAAGTGGGATGAAACAAGGAAGAGGAGGAGGAGGAAGAGGAGGAGGTGAACAAGAGAAAATTATACCAAGAGATCAAGATAAGTTGGAGATGCGTGAATTCACCTGTCTGAGAAGATCCACCCTCTTCTAGAAATGACATGCAAGTTAAGGTTTCGAGCATAAAAACCCCAGTGGAGGTAAAAAAAATCCCCACTTTGTAACCAAGTTGTAGGTGCTTGATGCTGCTGGAATTTGTTGAACACAGCTGGTGTCAGACAGACACCTCGGCAGAGAGGACCTGTGTCAGTGCAGGGGGGGTTTTAATTTGGGTAACAGCTATTTTTGCAGGTTTAGAAGCACATTACAAGGCTAATGGGGACTCGCTGGCTACCCAGAGCAAACATGAGTGCAGGTAACTAACTGGCTTTCTGCTGCTCATACCCTC